CCTTTACATAAATTTTCTGTTTTTCTTGAAAATCTAATATTTCCAACAGAAACATTATCAATACAATTTCAAGTAAAATAGAAACCATAATTTGGGACACATCTGAGGGGACACCACTATATAGTGAACACAACTTTTAAAGGTGGAGAGTATATATTTTAACACTACGGCCTACGCATTCTCATGGGACTCACCTATTAATCTGTCTCTTATACACATCTAGATGTGTATAAGAGACAGTTCTTATACAATAAAATTGTATCCAACTGGCTTGAATTAATGTTCATATTTTCTCACCTTTTCCTGTCAGCTTACTGAGCACCGCTTTGTATTCATTTTCATCGATGTATGTCATCCATTCATCTATGAACTCTTGCTGATGTTCCACTGGGACTAATATGTTAGCTAAATCTTTGATGAGCTTTCCACTAGAATGTATTTCCCATAGCTGCATCAAAGCATTAGGATCATTTGTTGATAGGTAAAATACTATTGATCCTTCCCCAACCTTTGTTAATATTAGACCACAACTTTTGTAATAGATTCTCAGGTTCTCAAACATGTCAGAAAATTCTGGTACATCCTTTAAAATTAGGGAGTCTTTATTTTCAACAAGTTCTTTTAACAATTTAAGAGCATACTTTTTATATGGTCGTCCTTCAGAATCACAGGATTCTCCTTTGCGTTTCTGAATTAATTTCACAGGAATTTCTTTCAAAATAAAAGATAAAATGACATATTTTAAATCTATAATTATTAAACAATCTAGCATATATAATTTATACTTCACATGGCCTCAGTAATCAACAATATCTGTACTGTAGATATAAAATGAGAATTATGACATCAGAGTTGTTTTGAGTAAACAGTATTGTCTTCCACAGTGTGGCTATGTTCACACAGAAGTGTAAGGCTGGCGTAAGCCTGGCGTAGTTTACGCCCTTTTTGTGTGAACTAGGTAGTTGTTGCACAGTGCTAGCTGAATAATCAGAGTAAAATTGTTCATTTAAAGTACAATCATCAAGTTCACTTTGAACAATAGGCCTAATCATGTCAAGTTCACTTCAAACAATTCACATATTTAAAAGTGTTAATGATGCACTCTAAATATTTTACTAAAGTTGAACCCGTACATTTCAAACTGAAAACATTCCTCCATAGGCCTATATTATTACTAGTTTAATGCCAGCATTATAGCGAACGTTTGTGTGAACAGTTTGGAATTTTAATTCATGGATTTTAATTCATAGTCTTACGCAGTGTGTGTGTGAACATACTGTGTGTTAAAATATGGAGGCATAAAAATTTTCTTCAAGGTTAAATGAATAATAAAGCAGTTGAGTAGCTTAGTATCATTTTAAATGTACTGTGGGGCAGACATTTTGTACCTGTTTTTTCATGCATTTCTTTTTGTTAATTTTAAATTGTTAATTATTTCCTTCTTTCCTACATGAACTTTGAAAAAAACTTTTGTTTTTGTGTTATAATTATAATGATCAACCATACTTTATATGAACATGTGTAATTACCTTCACTAAGGCTATGTCCAGAGTTCGAAGATGCATTTGGGATTTCTGTAAATAAAAGTTAATTTAATATAATGCATTACTAATTCTGAAGGTAGACATAATTAAAAGTTTAGGGACAATGGTGTGTCACCATTGGGGGCAAGGGAAGTAGATCCTCAAGAAAGTGAGGAGAACAATTATTCCAAAATGTCAGCATGAGATTGTTATGCCTTAAAGCATTGCCACTGCAATAAATGGAAGTTTCATTAAAGAATAAATCTCTTAATTTTCATTTTAGTAACTCATAAAGCAATTCAATATTAAATATAATAATCATATCCATTTCTTGAGTCAACACCCACTGGAGCCTCATCTTGGTTGGGGTTAAGGTGCAAAAATTTAAGGAAATAGTAGGCCTCCCTCTAGATGGTTGGATGTGGACATATTTTAATAGTAAAATTCATTATCATCACCCATTTTACTCAGAATGAAGATTTCTTTTTCATTTTCAGAAACCATAGAGATCTACGATAATCTCTGCTATGTACTGTACCACAGGAAAATAAAACTTTAACGTTCTTTGATGTAATAAAGTAGCAAAGCCAATAATACTGCAGATTTTCACTATACCCTTGATCAGTTGTTCTCAAAAATAAGGGCCAGAATTGTTCATTGAATAAAAGTTTGAATTGCCAGGGCCAGAGATGATGGCACATAGTGCCCTCTGAGCACCACAGTTGCATATCACTCAATGGGTCATCAGTATACAGTATTTCTTTACTGTTTACTGTTGCGATACTTCTTCTGATTTGATTGATTAAATTGCTACAATTTATGGGCCAATATATAGCCACTGGCAGTTAGCTAATGCATGATGGACTGTACATATATAGGCACACCAGATGACAATATTAATTTGATATAAAAATAGCAATTAACTTGAATACCTTCTGTTAAAGCTTCCACAGCATGTTGGAGTTTAAGGGAATTCAGTTTTTCAATGAAGGCTTCCATTTTTCCTTCACAAATTACCCTGTTGTGCTCCAGATCCATAATCAAACTCCATGTGTCTGCATATTCCTTCACTGGATCGTTATATAATGCACTGATTTTTTTGACATCTTCATCAATCAGTACCATTCCAAGCTTCATAACTTTTCGTCTGTAATGTGTGAATTTTGAGATTTTTACATCTTCAACATTTTGAAATACTGGTAGTTTATCTTTGATCCCTCTTTGCTCTGTTATGTTTATGGTATCATAGAGAACATTGAGATTAGCTGAGTGAAGATGTCCAGAAGCAGTTAACATATTCATTATTTCCATCACATTTGTAGCCCTATTCAACCTATTATTATATTTCAAAAGATCTCTGTACAATACTTTGAGCATATTTATTTCTTGACGTTGACCATACCATTCTGAAATAGCTAACAACAGCTCTCTGAAAGCATCATCCTTGATTTCTATGAAATTAACAAAATAGAGATCTCATAACTGATGGTTCATAAATACACATTATTTACTGTAAATTGAAAGTTATTTAAAAGAAAACTGCCTTCATTTCATTATTTATTTGATCTCATAAACAAACATTAAACAGTAATTAGAAAAATGGGTAGGGCCAACCAAAAATTAAATTAAATTAATCATGAGAAAAAAAAAACTTACACAAACAATTTGCTGCAGTCGAAATATATGATAGCCCACCAACCAAAAATAACAAAAAAAAATTATATCCTCTCAGAGACAATGACAATAATTTTAAATTCTCTTGAAATGAATGTCATCTTATATTCGTAACCCAGTCTTTAAGACAAATATGCTAAATAGATGTAGAAAGTTGAGGGATTTTGGATTTTGAAATCTAAACGCCTTTAAAAACTAATTCAACTTACTGCCATCTTGATATATAATGCTGTGAATTTTAAATAATTCAAATAATTATTTAATAATTTGGAATGGATAAATCATTATGGTAAAGTAATTATTAATTATTAGTTCATTAAGCTTTTATGACGATGCAAGTTAAGTAAGGATACAATAATGATTTTAACATGATATATATGCAGACATAATAAGAAGTATCAAACTTTCTTATAATAAAAATTTTTGAGTGCATTTTTAATATATGAGCTGTTTTTGAACCCTAAACCCTGCATTGTCTGAATATAGGCCCTACAGCTGTAAAGTTTCCATACATTATATTTTTTATTTCTGTGCACAAATTTCAGCTAAAAAGTTTTAAAAATTATACCTATGGCCATACAGATAAAATTGTATTTATTTAGGCTATGAGAGTGGAGCTAAAAATATTGGTCAATTCAATTGTAAACTTTGAACGAGCTGTTATCATGTGTGCAGAGTGAGCATCTGCCTAAAGTCAAAGAAATTGTGGTGGTCATTGTCTCTTGAGAGCAGAATTCTTATTAAAAATTATACACACACTTTGTGTAAACTGTCATGAGAGGCAATTTGCTTAGCAAACCCACACAAAAGACAATTTGATAAACTGGTCTTGTGAGTGCTGGGCTTAAAGGTAGTAATCATTAGGCTAAGGAATCTGTTAAATAAATATAGGAAATATCTAAAGTGATGTAATACATTAAGTATCTATTTCTTCTGTGTAAATGTGCAGCTAATTGAAAGAATAGATTTAATGCCCGTTACTTTATTTTACCATATTTGTCTTTTTAGCAAGTAATAGTTAAATGTATAATATCTTTGCAGGTGAGGACCCTTATTATTACTAGTATCTGATTGTCTTTATTTTTCATAAGACAATCCTATCTTATATATTAATATTCACCTCATGTATCCATAATAATTATATAAAATCTTTTAATCATTATTTGGTTTATTGGTCTGTAGTAGGCCTACATACCTTATGAATATACTTGTATAATGCTGTGACTTTACTCAATGATATTTTACTCAGGTAAATAATATTTTGATTTAGTATTTTCAATTTTTTCTAAATCATTATGTTAAGCATTGGATCTACTGTAATACTAAATAATGTAAATTAATGAAATATTTACCTTAAAATTCTTTGGTTGGTTTTTCAGTGAGTTACATATGTGAAGTGTCTCCAATCAGGAAATGGGTGTTTTTCAAGGGTTTACTGTATCTTTAGTCATGCGATTTGGTATATTAAGCTGTTTCTTTGTGAATGCTATTAACCAACCATGACTTTGTGAAAGCAGAGACTGAGAACTATTCAATAGTAAATTGTTATACAGTATACTGTATTGAATACAAATTATTACAGTCAGCACTCCTTTTCATTTTCGTATCTGAATAACAATCCAGTGTTTATTTTGTACTGTCGCTCTCATTATCTCAATTCAACAAACAAGACCCCAATGAAAATAGGTTTTTTGGACTACCTTGCTGGGTTATTATTTGGATTTGTGTTCTTCATACCGAAGAAAATTAATCTACCAACTCCTTTTAATCTATTCTCTTTTAACCTCTTACCTTCTCTACTATCTTGTGTTCTATTCTCCTCCTCCTTTTTGGTCAACTTTTTCTTTTCCATATCCTTCCTTCCTTCCTTCCTCCCCTTCATTGCCCTTGATTTCTTTCTTTCCATCTCCCCTTTTTAAGCTATATTATTAAAAGAAGACAACATTTCCACATTTTTAAAAATTTAATCAAAACTATGTATTTTTGAGACACGATAAAAACCACAGTTAAAAAGAATTTCTAGTCTTATTTGTAGAGTTTTGGATGCAATTTGGCCTCATTTAGACACCAGACAATTTGTAAGTCAGAAATGTACTTCAACTGCTCATTTTCTCATTAAAGTTTACCACCAGCTGATTTCTGCTGCGGAGAAGTCCAGCAATACCAGTACATTACAGTATTGACTGATTTCTCAAAATCCTTTGATATGGCAGGCCATACCAGGGCCGGCAGGGCTCGAAATTCACACTAGCAAACTAGCAATTTGCTATTAGGTTTGTCATAATTGCTAGGTAAACATTCACAAACCAGCAAATAAAAAATTGATTGCTAGTTGAAATATCTATACAAAATATCTTGTAATTAGCCTAGTAAGTACAACAAATTAAGTTAAACAAAATGAAGAAAAGTTACAAAAACTGATACAAATTTTAAACAGAAAACTTATTCACAGATACAAAATAAAAATTGAATATATTATATACTTATTAGTTATTTAAAAAAAATATTTTAAGTATATAATATATTATTCAATTTTTATTTTGTATCTGATTTTTTTTTCATATTAAAAATGTTCTGAAACTGCAGTGAATAAATGTACAAGGTATAGAAATCAATTGCTTATACTCATTTGGCTATTTCTTTGTGATATTTATTGTATTGTACATTTAACACACAAATTTATAGAAGTACTGTACTTCATTAGTTGTTATTTTCATAAAATTTATTTTCCAAAAATAATATGTTGGGTTAGTATCAATATATTTTACTAGTCGAGCAACTAATTTTGCTAGTTACATTTTTCACAACCAGCAAATTTTTGCAATAGGTTGCTAGTGCCTAAAAAGTAAATTTCTAGGCCTGACTGGCCTTTCATAAGCTTGGTGAAATGGGGGTTTTTCCTGCTATTTTAACTTGGGTAATCAATTTCATTTCTAGTCATAAACAGAGGGTGAAATATAAAGGGATTTTTTTCTGATTTTGTGTAGGTTTGCTTAGCAAACCCACACAAAAGGCAATTTGATAAACTTGTCTTATGTGTGCTGGGCTTAAAAGTAGCAATCATTATGGTAAGTGATCTGTAATATAAATATAGGAAATATCTAAAGTGATAAAACACCATGAGTATCCATTTTTTCTCTGTATAGTATGTGCAGCTAATTGACAAAGTGATAATGCTGTCTCTTATACACATCTAGATGTGTATAAGAGACAGCTTCTCTTTAGCAACTAATAAATGTATAATATCTTTGCAGGTGAGGGCCCTCATTATTACTAGTATCTGTCTTTATTTTTCATAAGACAATCCTTTCATATTAATATTTACTGCATGTATCTATAATAAATATATAAAATATTTTAATCATTATTTGGTTTATTGGTCTGTAGTAGGCCTACATACCTTATGAATATACTTGTATAATGCTCTGACTTTCCTCAATGATATTTTGCTCAGGTAAATAATATTTTGATTCAGTATTTTCAATTTTTTCTGAATCATTAATATGTTAAGCATTGGATCTAATACTAAATAACTTAAATTAATGAAATATTTACCTTAAAATTCTTCGGTTGGTTTTTCAGTGAGGTGCATATGTGAAGTGTCTCCAATCAGGAAATGGGTGTTTTTCAAGGGTTTACTGTATCTTTAGTCCTGCGATTTGGTGTAAGCTGTTTCTTTGTTTATGCTATCAATCAACCATGACTTTGTGAAAGAGAGAGAACTGAGAACTATTCAATAGTCAATTGTTATTATAATGAATACATAATATTACAGTCAGCACTCCTTTTGATTGTCATATCTGAATAACAATCCAGTGGGTTTTTTTTGTACTATCGCTCTCATTATCTCAATTCAACAAACAAGACCCCAATGGAAATAAGTCTTTTGGACGAATGTAGGTAAGAATGGCCCCGGAAAAAATGGCCCTGGAAAAAATGGACCGGAAAAAATGGCCCTGGTAAAAATGGCCCCAATGAAAAATTCGGTAATAGAAATGATATATTTTTTTTTAAATTTTCAAATATTTAAATACTGTATAAGCAAGAATTGAATCAAGAAATAAAAAATGGCCCTCAATTATAAAATTCAAGAAAAAAAAAAAAAAAAAATAAATAAATGTTGATTTAATTAATAAATCAACATAAAGAATATGCATATTTGAGATCTAAAATAAATTAGTTTTTAGCTCCATGAGTAGCTCTGGGAGCAGGTCTAAGTATTTTTTTAAATTATTAATATTATTAGATATAATTACTATATTTGCGGCCAATTATTAATATTATTATTATTATTAATGGCTCTGATGGGAGGCTCTAAAACATTGATTCGGCACCAACTTTGAACGACGAACTTGCAGGGAATGTTATAAACCATTTTCGCGAAATTTGAAAAAAAAAATTCCAATAACGTGGCGACTACCAACTATGGGGACTTTCAGAGGCCTGGCATTTCGCGGTACGTATTACTGTCATGGATAACATCAACGATAAAATTGCTAATGAGCACAAACATTTTAAAACGGAAAAACAGTAGAGTAAAATGTACAATAGTCAGTGAGTTTGTCAAACAAGGTATAAAAAAGTCTCGCCTTGGGTAGCATCTTTTTAAAGGAAATCATTAATTTCATTTAAAAAACACAAGTTACTGATTGATTAAATAATTCTATTTTAAATAAGAAATGATTATGCACAGTAAATGTAACATAGGACAACATTTTAAAGATCATTATATTAGTGCTACTGAAACTGTTAATTATTTCAAGGTTTTATCTAAGTGCAAATCCAAGTTTGATTGCTTAATTAAAGAAATGCTTTGGATCAAAGAACTGCAAACCTACACTTAACAATCAAGCTTGGTTCACGTCGAACTTTTATCTAGATATACATCCACTCAACTAGTTAAAAGTTCGACGTGAACCACCCAATTATAGCTAGTTAAAGGAATTAAGTCACTTAAGTTAAGTGACTTAACTTTACTAGAATAACGGTAAATTAACTTGCTTAACGGTAAATTAGGCTCGGATTACAAGAACACGATTACATAACGTAGGCATCTAAGCCAGCTTTGTTGTATTGTACCACCATTATCATCTTCTGGCTGGCAACAAGGTACTTCAACAATGCTAACAACAGCATCGAAGTAGTCTCATTAGTCTGGTTTTCAGAAATTATTTGTAATATTTTGGGTAAACACCCAGCAAACGTCCGTTTTACGAATAGTCGATATTACCATCCTTGGAATCATCGACCAAGTAATAACGTTAAAAAGTCCGATTGCGTACGTTTTTCAAAGTGATAATGTATATTTTTCTTAATAATAAAATCAGATTTGTTGTATTTATTTATTGACAATTCAATCTTTTTTATTTCTGCTATAATAGTCACTATTAATTCAATTTCAACGAACTACCACCAACGCCAGTCGTTAAAATGAGCGCACATGTTTACGATGACGAAATAAAAGTGTGTGGAAGTCAGCAACTTATTTGACACCGCGAAGCTAGATTTTCGCGAAGTGCATGTAAACAACACAATTGAGCGATCTAAAAACTACAAAACAGGACAGAAAGATCCATAAAGTATAAATACGTTTTAATGAAAATTAAAACAATATTTTGTTAAATGGAAGAATGCTAGCTAGCGATTAAAATAATTCGTTTTTTATCGAAGGTAAATGTAGCTAGGGCCATGGCCTAGAGAATCTACCACTTAGATTGCGATAGAACACGCTGCTGCACTGGTCGTTGGTTCGGCTAGGTTAGGTAGTGGAAACTCGCACCTTTACAGTAGTTTACAATTTTTTTTGAACAAATACCACTTGGTACTAGAGGTTCGTAAAATACAGTAGATGTTTTATTAAACAAGCCTTTCGACCGTGTGACGTCGACGGCCTGAAACTGGCTGGCTGTTTATCTGGCTCTAACTTGGCATCGAACGCAATTAGGGGATTATCGTATTATGTTTCAAGACGGGTATATCTAGATAAAGTTCGACGTGAACCAGGCTACAAACTGATTCAGTCAAAGCCAAACTGTTTATCTAGTTAATCTGCTAAGAAGGGCTAATTATTGCTTAGCTCATGGAGGTATTCACTATAATACCTCCACACAGTAGGCCCTATTGAAATGTAAATTAATTACTTACTTCCTGTCACTGCTTGGTATTTTTGTTTTTAGTTTTTGTAATTTACTTGATCTTGAGAATGGTTCCATGATGGACCCGAAATGTCGATCTTTCTTGTCATTAAA